TCTCTCAGAGTTAGCAATGGTAATAAGAACCATATCCTGCAGACCGAAAGAGGAAAGATAACTGCTGGTGGGCCAGCTCCAAAAAGAGTTCAAATAGTCTGAGCCACATGAGCAAAACCAGCTGATGAACAGGGTGGGTCCATACTATGGGAACAGTTCATCCCTGTTACTATCCACGTGATGAGCTTTTGTTTGTGTCTTCTTGACAAAAAGGAAGTATGGTTGTCCCCCCAAAAATAATAACAGATTTTACAGATAGTAACAGCTGTGTTCTTTCTCAGAGAAATTCTGAACTCTTCTTTTTTCTGGTCAAGCAACAAAACAGCTGCCTGAAAATGATCACCATCCAAGAACCCCCCCACCCCAAAACAACTGGGGATGCACTGAGTAGGAAACCTGCTGTCATGAGAACATACAGTATGTAATATGGACAGATTGGCATGTTGACCACCTCTCATTTTATCAGGAACCTTTAGCAAGTGTTGACAGTGTTGAATCTCAGGGTGCTTTTGCCATGGAATTGTTTAAGGTGGAGGATGTATTTTCACCAGATGGCTGCCAATAGTTTGCAGTGCTCATTAAATAGCCATTAATACACACTGTGTAGGTTTTACCTAGATATGGGTGTTTTTCTTCACCAGGTTCTGTACAAGTGCATTCTCTGCCTTATTAAAACCTACAGCCTTGATAGTTCAGTAATGTAACATGCAAACATGAACATAAAAGCATTTCTGCAATACTATTTTGCTGTGATGACATAGCCAACTGTTTTGGCAGGTGATCAGGCAAGATCTTTGCTTTGCAGCCTACATTTTGGTGCAGAAAGGATCATGAGTTGCATAAGGAAAGCCTGAGGCCCATATGAAGCCAGCTGTTTTTAGTTTCTGTGGTGAGGAGCTTGTGCGTGTGTGTATATATACAAGTGTGTGCCAGAGAGTGAAAAGCAGCACTTATTGTCTCCCGATTTGCAGGATGGTGTTCAAGTAAAGCTAATATAGAGGGACAAAGTTATTGGTGTTATTTGTAATAACTCTGAAAGCATTACCCCTAACAGTGAAGATGTGATAATAAGATACATGTCCAACCTGCAAAGCCATTCACCACATATTGTTGAGTCACCAGTTGTTGATGATATACTGTATGGTAGTCATGTTGCTCAGCATGCTGACTGCAGTACAGGCTTAGCAGAGCATCACCAGAGAAAATACCCAACATCTGGTGATGTCTCTTGTTGTACCCGATACTTTTTACCATACTGACTCTGAGAGACAAGGCAGTCCAAGTAACTTCAAAACAGTGCTGATTTATTCCATGAACACAGGCAAAAATTAACATTACACGTCCAGGCATCTTGCACCTCCAAACTGCTCGCAGGCAGATGTAAGATGAAAGACCCTGAACCCACCAGGCCTATACATTATATCACCTCGGTTGGGCTAGCCCCATACTACACAGAAACGTCAACCGAGACGTGTCCTTGGTGCCAGCTTTGCAGCTGGTCATAGCAGTAGTCAAAACATGAAGTAAATCAATGTGTGTGTGTCTGTTGATTAAGTGGTGTGTAGCTAAAAACATTCTCACGACCTCTAGTAACATGTCGTGATATTAAACATAAGAACATATTATGGCTAAGGCTACAGTTATACACATCATAATAATAATATTAAACACCCTGTCTGCTGACAGTCATCAACTCTTCTCTCTAGTTATCCTTGACCAGATGTACCCTGTAGAAACTCATAAGCATGACTAAGCATTTAACAGTCTAACTAGACATCCTATCTCCACTAAACATTTCTAATACATAAAGTATCTATCCAATATCTATCTGACTAAAAATACCTAACACTGTGAGGTCACAAACTTCATGCAATCATCACAAAAGATGTGCAACAAAGTAATAAACATGACTAATCTTGTTTACATGACAGTGCTGTGTCCCAGATACTATGGTGCCCTGAAATGGGGGCACTATGTATAAGCGCTGCTGCGACTTCTACATGGTGAAACCAAAATGTGTAAAAACATCCTGTAATAAAAACTGAGAATGCACAGTTTAATCACATGTATTTTTTAAATTACAAATCTGAAATTGTGGAGTACAGTAGCAAATGAATAAAGGATGGATGTTTGCCCCAAACACAAAAAAAGCCACTGTATCTACTGAATGCATTTTCTCAGTGTTCAGCTTGTTTTGCTGCCTCCAAGTGGCCACAAAATCAATTAAAGTAGCTTTACTGTAAGTGCTACTAACATATCTATAATTTATTTATATTTAAATTAAATAATAATGGGATTAATTAAACACAATCATTATGCAAATATAACTAAGTATACATTTTATTGAAATACTACATTTTTCAATACAGCATTGTGCTGCTGTAAATTGCTTATTGTCCAGACTTTATTGTGTTTCAGGCAAACAACACACCACCAGTATGTGGACTGGCAAAACATTCATGTCTCCTTTCGGCTCTGTGAGAAAACAGGCATCCTATTTTAAACTAGACTAGATGTTTGAAACATCCATAAATGGCACAGCGGTTGACCTTGATGAAAACTTGGTTCTGGAGCATATATCCTGTGGTTTGGGATTTTGTGAATCATGCTGAGGGTAATATAAAACTAGAAATCCAACCCAAAGCCTGAAGCTCCTTGTGTAAAGACCAACAGACCTTTCACTGAATAAAAAGGTTGAGTCTAAAGTAAAACTGACAACATCAAACATATAACAAGTGATTCTCATGCCACAGAATTTGTCCTTTTGTTCTCGAAAAATGGACATGAGCATAGTGTGACTAAGACTTTAGAAAACAATGTAAGCTATTTAGCTGTGTAATTTGCTGTACTTCTACCTTACACAGTAAACAAACAACCTAGTACAGCTTTCCAAGGCCATTGTAACTCATGGACAAAGAAACAACAGCTTGGGCCCTATTGTGAGGATCAATGGCACCAAATCAAGATGTTTTGGTGCAAATTCAGTTTGGGTGTGTCCATGTTCATTTTGGTAATTTGACAATGAGAAAAAAATGGTTCACATGCCTGTGCAAGTAGCAAAAGGGCTGTACTTGATCTCCTCATTAAAGCAGGGGTGTGTTTTGGGCATAACATGCAATTATCCAACCAGTGTGTAACCTCACATCCCCTTTAAGGGACATGTGAGTTTGAACATTTGGCAGATTGCTGGCATACTGGTGGACTTGCCAGGTTGGACGTTAGTAAGATTTTCCACTGAGGAAACGGATCTGCTTGTGCGCACGATCACTAACCAAATGGTTATAAATACTTATATATTCATGTGCACAACACCCAGTGAACACAATGTCATCTTTTTATTTTTTTAGTTCTGTGGGTCCTATGCAACGTGTCCCAGGGTATAATAAGCACAGTGCACGAACATTGTGCACGCACCTAGACAGACACACAAGTGGTCAAAGCACCCATTAACTAGCAATGATGACTTAACTGTTGACCACAGATCTGGTTTTTGCTGGTCAGTTGTGCAGTCACTTTGTGCACCCTGATATTACCAACACGCCCAAAATTTACCTGGACACACCCCATTTTCATCTGGACACACCTGCCTGCATGAAGCCTACAGACTGCTGCTTGGTAAAAAGGCAATGTGATGCGCATATCATGAAAACAGTAATTGCGCAGATAGGAAACTAGAAAACAAGCTCACATGAATATGCGCAGCCTGGAGATTATGACCATTCAAGGATATCCATGAACTATTGAGTAAGGCTTTACATAGTTGGGGAAAAAGGTCTTGTCAGTCAGAGTTTGCAAGACCTGTATAAACCCAGTTGCTTCTGCATACACCTCGTTTATTTGAGCTTTCAGTCGCGTTTAAAATGATAATTCATCATTGTCACAATGTAGATAAGTCAGAAAACAGAGAAAAGCATCTCATGGTCTCCTTAAAGTTAGGGGACTCACAAGAGATAGGTGAAGTAAGAACAGCAGAGACAGCAGAGGCCGAGATCTCCTGACTTCTAGTCTCTAGTGAGGGTCAAATTCCAATAACGTCAGATCCCTGACTGTCTCATAATGCAACTGAATAGCGTCTTTCATTATGCCCCAGCTTTGCCTCCTGAATGCCCATTTCTTTCCAACCCCACAGTCCAGTTTGCTATGTAGGCTTTCTGTGGAAAATGTTAAGTCTCTGGCCCAAACATAGATAACTATGGTGAGATCATCAGGGTTATTTTCTCTGCTTTTAGAAAGCTCCCATCAGACCTGCAGGAGACATTATACAGCTGTTTTCACAGGCTACGTAGTACTGCTCCAGATCAGAAAACTACACTTCCCATATGAAAGTGTGGGAGTGCACCTTAAAATGTTCTTGTCCTACACACTCAATTATCAGAGCACTGTATAAAAGTCTATTTTGTTTTTCTCACAGGACGTCCCACAAACGGTCTGCACTGAACACAGAGTTCAAGCTTGCTGCTGCCCCCCACTAGACAAAATCTAAAACAGCAGTATTACTTCAAAAATATGGAAAAATATTTTATGTCAGAATAAATATAAAAGTATAGTAACAACTCTTCCCTAGGTGAAAACATAAGGACTTGCCTCTAAATATTCTGATCTCGTGGAGGATTCTTTTGATCAATCTTATAGAAAGTCATATTTAAATGTTGGAGCAAGAGATTCTGTGTTGGTCCGAGTGGTAGGTTATTCTGACGCATGAGACCATCAGCACCAAGATGAGCTAAGTATAGCAACACTCATCAGACTATGACGCAGCACCAGATGAAGCCAGTTCTTTTTTTGTTGCCATTATTATAATCAAAATCAAAGACAATTAAAACTGTTTAGAAGCAATATATAAGAAGGCCACATTATAAAGATGTTTATAACTAATGTCTGGTGGTTTGACTTTCTCAGAAGTTTTGATTTTGGCACACTATACACAAAAAGCTGTGCTGTACTTCTGTATAACAACATACTGTAGGTCCATTTTACTTAGCTAGTTACTTTAGTACATAGCTGGGCATCCTAGACAGAATGTTAGATGAGTGAACAGTTTTAAACACCATCAAATTATATCAGTAATTTGTTACATTATCAGTTTAGCTCTGCAGGTTCAACCTATGACCCTGTCACATCCAGCATCCAATTGTGAGACAAAACACATTTAAAGGTTTACAGAGGAGATGGCCTGTTGACAACATTGTCTTTTTCATGCAGATTGCTCAAGACAGATAATATCAGTGCTTTACCCACTTCCCTTAACACGTAGGTCTAGTTATATGGTAATAGCGATAGCCTGAGCCACTCTGCACATACATTACACAAGGACAAGTAAAGATAACACTTTTTGCCAAATAGCTAAATTCTTGATAAACCTGTGTCAGGAAAGGAAGAAGATGAAGCTACAACTTTTCATCATTAGTGCACTTTTGGTTATAACTAGTCAAGAAGAAGAGAAAAAACAGGTAAATAATGAAAGTCCTGAATTTTTTGTAATTTTTAAGTTGTAGATACAGGGATTTTGTGTAAGGCTAAGAAATAGTTTATTCTCTTTCAGGGCAAATGTATAATAAACATATTCTATCATGATACAGTGACATGTAATTCTACAGTTTAAAGTAAAACTATTTATCTGATTTTACTTTAAACCTCAAAACAACAATGTAAGTTGAGGTTAGTAAACTGAGAAGCCATGTTTTGTGATGTCAGTAAGCTGCAGTGCGTGGATTTAAATGATCTTTTAAATGAACAGCTTTATGTGTTGGGTTCACTTTCATGCCAAAATTAAGATGAGAAGACACCCCTCATATCTATCCAATACAGGGCTACATCCAGCAGTCGGTTAGGTAGGCTTAGCACAAAACCCTGAGACAAGGGGAAACTTGCTCTGCTTAGCCCATCTGTTATGTTCATTTCTCAGGAACAGCAGTGATGTTCCTCGGTTAGTTTTACCATTACTAACCATTTCAATCACTATTTAGTGTAATGGTGTTCTTTACCTCTCACAGATTATGGTCCAGTGAGAACAATGCACTCATTTTTCATAAAGAATGCATGTTAAAACTTTTTTAATGTACATTGGAAAGACCTACATATAAAATACATTATTTTTACATGACATTGATTTTTTTTAAATTTTATTTTACATTTTGAAATCTTTTCTTTTTATGAAGTGATGTTGGTAAATTAACATGAGACACCTCTGTTCTGTATCTTTGTAATATAAACATGCAGGGGGAGGTTGCAAATATGTGAAATGAACCATTTTCATTTTATATGTTGATTACACCTATTAAGCCAAGCAGAAGAAGTTTTATACCAATAAAATACTTTTAACTATTGTTTTTAGATTTTTTTAACTTTACAATGGGCCAATTTGACCAACATAACAGGAGGCTTAAATCCACCCACCAGCACCTCTCAGAGCGTTCTAGCCCTTGTTTGTTCTGCATTGGTTTCAGTCTTTATACTATGTTAAGTTGCAAACCAGCTGCTGGCTTTAGAATCATATTTTAAAAACAGATAGGACAGTGGTACCAGTCTTTCCACTGAACTCTCAGCAAGAAAGCGAGTAAGCATTTTTCCCATAAATATTTTTCTGATTTCACCGAAACCTGTAAGTTCTGCAACTGGTATTTCCTCTACTGCAACTTATACCAATTGTCATGATTTTGTTTTTATTTAGCTGCTGGTGACAGAGGGAACAGACTTTGGTCAAGAGTTCTCTGGGACCATAACTTCCATATATGATTACGATGAGGGTGCTCCTTGCAGCACAACCCTGCCTGGATTTAATAGTCTGGGCCTGATGATCACCTACTTCATTGTGTTTGTCTTCAGCATTGTAGGCAACGGCATAGTTGTCTATGTGGTTTGCTATATGAAGAAAGGTAAAGCCAGCACAAATATCTACTTGATGCACCTGGCGATGGCCGACCTCCTCTTCTGTCTTACCCTTCCGTTCTGGGCTGTTGATGTTCATTCTGGTTGGATCTTTGGAAACTTCCTGTGCAAACTCCTGTCAGGCTTTCAGGAGGCATCAGTATACAGTGGTGTTATCCTCCTGGCATGCATCAGTGTGGAGCGTTACTTTGCCATAGTGAGAGCTACACATGTCCTGTCTTCCCACCACCTGCTGGTGAAAGTGGTGTGCAGTGTGGTGTGGCTGGTGGCTGGGTTACTGTCCTTACCTGTGGTAATTCAGAGGGAGAGCATACATGCTGAAGATCTGGGCCAGAACATTTGCTATGAAAACCTCACCGGTGAAAGCAGTGACCACTGGCGTGTTAGCATAAGTGTTCTGCGCCATACGATTGGCTTTTTCCTGCCACTGCTGGTCATGGCTGTCTGCTATGGCTGGACTGTGGTGACGCTGTTTCACACACGTAATCAACAGAAGCAGAAGGCCATGTGTGTCATCCTGGCAGTGGTGTTAGCATATATTCTTTGCTGGCTGCCTCATAATATTATTGTACTGATTGACACACTCATACGAGGCGGATCACTTGAAGTGCAGACGTGTGAAACGCACTACACAGTGGAAGTGATACTAAAAGTGACCGAGCTGTTGGCCTTCATGCACTGTGCAGTGAATCCAGTGCTGTACGCCTTCATTGGTGAGAAGTTCCGTAACCAACTGCTGCTGGTTCTATACAAACACGGCCTCATTAGCAAGAGGCTCCAGATGGCTTACAGGAAGAGTTTTGTCACCAGTGCAGGGAGCTTCAGATCTAGAAGCAACTCTGCTACAATTGCTGAGTCCGAAATGTTTGTGCTGTAATGGGAGAAAAACGGGATGCTGGGCTTTAAAAACATCAATCTGTTGTCAATAAATTCAAATGTGACATGCTATCAATAAAAGAGAAAGCTGCAAACCCACTGACTAAAACAGAAAACGGGATTTGGCCAATGTGATCACTCAAATATTTACTGAAATCATTTTTAAAGTTGTACTAGCTGTATTGACCTTGACTTTGACTTTTATTACATAACAACCCTCTTTTTTATTTTGTTATTGTAAATTTTAACACTTCAAACTTAGGATTTTGACTTGAGAAGTGTTTTTGTCCTTTGTTTATACAGTAAAAAAAGCAATATTTCCCTTGCAATCAGATCTATTTTAAACAGAAAGAGGTAAAGAAATCAGCTTTGTGTTATTCAGCTGTCTGATAAATGATTTTCATTGACACACTCCTCTAGGAGCTGTACTAACTGTTGGTGCAGGAAACAACCAATCTTCATAATCAATGCTGTGATCTCAAAATGCTGTATTTTTATCATTGTGCAACAACAAGCTTTGCCACTTTTGAAATCAGACTATAACTTTATTTGTCTGTTTAGCTCAGTGTGTATATTGATCACGTGAATGTTTACATACTGAGGCATTACATGTGGATATGGTGTGTGTGCATGTTTGTACTTGTGTGGGTGGCTCTGTGGCTGAGAAGAAGCAGCGTGGCTGTGAAACAAATTACGTGTTTAAAAAAGGGATGTTTTAGATGTTGTGATCATATCACTTCCAGATGTTTGAGCCAAATTCAGATATAATATCTCAAACATTTTTTAATGGGTCACTGTTCAGTTTTTGTTTGTTTGTTTTTGTTGCACAATCCAGCACTGTCCTCTTTTACTCACGCTTTCACTTCAGACACAATTGATGATGCTCACTAACTAATATTATTCCAGGCATATCTGCACTGCTTTAGTTTGGTTTTTTGTAGCTTATTCTACGACTGACTTACAATAAACCTCTTGTAAACCTTTACCATGTACGGTGTCCCATGTCCTTCCTTTCATTACTCAGATTGTATGATGCTTCATGTCTTCATTCACTAAATAAGTCCCACTATGTGTACATTAGGACAGAATCATTGGACTAAGAAGCAAGCAACAGGTTAAGAGTTGTACGTTTTTAAAAAGCCTTTAATTTTTAACACTCTCTCAATATCCAAAATGATGATAATGTAACTAATATGTTGTTAACAAAACCACACCATGCAGTGAATTGCTTTACAAAAGTGAAACATGATTAGATGATTTCTCATATGGTCCTTGGTATTGCTATATTCCTGTGGTCTGGTGTTCTGCTAATGTGTTAAAACGGTGACTACAAACTGATATTTCACCAGAGAGGTATGTATTTGCTTATATGCATTGTCACAACCGGACTCACAGGCCATGGCAAATAGAAGGGGGATGGTTATTAAGAAAATTGAATTTATCTTTATCCAGTGTCTGTTGTGCCTGTGAGTGGATGTGAGCCTATAAATGATATGTTGAATAGTATTTTATCATCTGAAATAACTTGGAATACTGGGAATGGCTGATCTCAAATGCATTCTTTGAGACAACCAGCATGTTGTGTAGTTTCCTGAAGAAGTATATTCTGCCTGAAGTCTTTTGTCTTTACAAAAATGTCCCTGTTTTGTAAGTAAATACAAGAGGAAATAAATAAAGGAAGCACAGTATTTGGTAAACATATTGTGGTGATAAAAGAGGACATGAAGTTAATCGATGTGAGAGTAGAGGATGCCGAGGATAGAGTTAGGTGGAAAGAGATGATTCACTGTGGTGACACCTTAACGGGAACAGCCGAAAGAAGAAGAAGATTGTGGTGAGCTAGTGGATTCTAAAGGTGTTGCTGGCATCTTCAGCCATCTCTGTCAGCTGGGCAAGTTAATCCTCCTTTTAATTACACCACTTACAGTTGATCAGGCAGTATACCACCTGCAGCATGTACAGTACAACACGCAGGAACCACTGTATGCTGTGTGCAACAGCATATACTGTATCTTATTTGTAAAAGAATCTTATAATCTAAATATTAATGCCACTGAGGTCTGCAACAACATTCTCACGGAAGAAGCTTGTCGGCAACTCCATCACCAAGTTCAGCTGGTGTTGATAACATAACTCATCAATATGTTATTAGAGCAACCAAATCAGTTTAATGTTGCCTTTGTGTGGTTTTAAGGAAGACCAGCATTTGTGTAGTGTAAAAAAGGTGTTAGCAGTGTAAAAAAGTTAAGATTGGACATATGTTGCTACATAATGACACTGGAGTCAGGCTGTCTTTATATGCAGGCACGTCCCATACACTGCACAACCCTGGACAGCCACTGCTTTTAAATAAAGAAAACAACACAGAACACCAGAATGTGGTGGTGTTTTTAAAACACACAGTTTCCCCCAAAAAGAACCCACCAACCTGCACTATAACCTGCCAAACCAAAGTTTCCTCCCCCCAGAATGCCTGCCATGTCAGTGTCATCCACTGACCTATTTGCCAGATAGGCAAACTGCAGGGTTCCAGCAAGGGGTCTATGATGTCCTTCAGATGGGCCAACACCAATCTCTCAAAGCACTTCTTAAATGCAGATGTCAGGGTGACAGGTCTGTAGTCATTCAGTCTGCTGATGGATGGTTTCTTGGGGACCGGGATGATGGTGAAGCATTTTAAACAGGAGGAAACTTCACACAGCTCCAGTGATCTGTTCAAGATCCATGGCAAGTATCAGCACAGACTCCCCTGTGCCAGTGTTGGTTGGTTTCTACATTGGGCAATAGGGACTGTGGGCAAACAGCATTTTTACCCTATAGCCTGTTAGAGGGGATATAAATGGGTAAATGTGTTTTTGGGGTTTCATGAGCTTTATCTTTCTTACACAACATTCCCTTGAAATTCCTAAAAACGATTTTTAAATGTTTTGACCTTAGTGGGCGTGGTTAAGCCTGCACGTAAGCGGATATCTAGTTACCATGGTAACAGCGTAGACACAGCTGGCCGGTTGACTATCTACAGTAGCTCACCGCCTGTGAATTAACGGTGCTAAAGTGGCCTTCTCTTCATTTATTAACCACGGATCATTAGCGCTGAATTCAGGAGCATTAAGGTAATTTCGATTTATAATGATGGATGATATCCTGAGTTAACGTTTAAGGTCATCCTCTTTGCAGAGAAGGTAACGTTACCGATAAGTGCTACTGAAAAGGTAAATATCTATGGATAGCATGTTGTCTGACTGATGCAGTAATGTTTCCGTTTTCTTTTCAAAATAAAGTTCGTTGACACTAACTATACTACGTGACCTACAGTGGCACTTTAAGATAAGCTACACGTGGTTTGCGAAGACTAATTTTCTTCTTCAGCACTTAAGAGATTTTAAGTAAGTGTTTTTGTTAGAAAACACACTCGTGTTTTTATTAAAATCGGAAGTATTTATTTCAAGCACTGCTTGCTGTAATTTTAAAAATGAATCCCTGACAACGGAAGTTTTAATGCAAGAAACATCAATAACTTTTTTTTGGTAGAAACAGCAATAACTTACCGTGTCATCCTTAGCCATGTTTCTATCAGGTTGTTGCAATTCGTTCCAATTAATGTGTTTATATAATAGTGTCTATTGTTTATTATTAAGATAGCTTAGCCCAGTTTGTTGGCGGTAGGTAATAGTATTTAGCCATGTGTTGCTCGTAGATTTTTATTCTGTTTAAATCAGTACAAGATTTTTCAGCACAAATTGTTACAACAGATGTATATCAGTGTGCATTAAGAGCACAACAGGACATATAATAACAAGGTGAAAAAGAATAACAGTGCCAAACAAGTGAGAACAAAGAAAAGAAAATACAAAGAGGTTAGGCTATTCTGATAAAAAAATTAAAACGTTTGAGGAGGTCAGTGGTTTTGGTTCGTTTTTTTGTTAGGGTGGTTTCATTGTGACAGTGTTTGGAAATAATTGTTGACATCAGATTGTTTAAAAGTTGAAAAGGATGGTGATTTGTTTCAGAAATGTCATTTTACTGATGGTGTTGCTCCTAGATACGCCAGCTGTTGAAAACGGGTTGAGTAAAGGAAGAGGACCCGTAGCTATCCTCGCTAATGCCGTTATGAAATTGTCAAAACACAAATAGCCTAGGTTCAAGGTTCACAGTGTTTATTTGTCATATGCACAATTAGGAAACGTGTTTCTCTGTACAATGAAATTCTTACTTTGCCGTCCACATGAATGCCACACAATACAAGTGAAATATAAAGTAGATGAGCAATAACACAAATCTAAATAGGCAGTAATAGCCTATTCGTCTTTGTTGTTTAAATAAAGTCACAGAACACAGAAACACTCAATTAATTTTCTCACCCTGTTTTACACAGCTTCTCCAGGTACGTGGAACGGTAAGAATGAGGCAAGCTATGTCTTGTGTGTGATAGGTTCACTCAATACATATCCAAAGACGTTAACAAACAAATAGGCTATTTGTGTTTTGACAATTTCATCACGGCATTCGCGAAGACAGCTACGGGTCCTCTTCTTGTTCTCAACCGGTTTTCAACAGCTGGTGTATCTAGGAGCAACCACCGACGCATTCTGTTGATCGTCACCAGTTAACACATGCATATGCTTCGACATTTATTAGTGGTCCAATGATAGTTGTTTTCTTGTTCGTGTCCTGTAGATTCTGAGTAAGTTAGGATGTCCAGTGATCTTGCTGGTGTGTGGGAGGTTGCACTGAGTGATGGAGTCCACAGAATAGAGTTTGAACATGGCACCACCACTGGAAAGAGAGTCATTTCCGTTGATGGAAAGGTATCGATCCTTATCTTAAGTACTGTTACCCAGGAGAGAGACTACACATATTTTATTATACAATCTGATTCCTTTTATGATTTTTCAGTAGCAGCTGGTAATTTTACACCATGTTACAGGAGATATTGAGACGAGATTGGATGTTCAAACTTGTGGGGAAGGAGACATTCAGTGTGGGCAAGTCAGACACCAAAGCGACCATCAACATTGATGCGGTCAGTGGTTTTGCCTACGAGTACACCTTGGAGATTAACGGAAAGAGCTTGAAGCAGTACATTGAAAACAGGTCAAAGGTCACCAGCACCTGGGTGCTCAACTTGGATGGCACAGACTGCAGGGTGGTCCTGGGTAAGCCACTCTTTGTTTTTATATGGTTCACATAGAGTTATTATGTCATCTGGTTATGCTGATTGTTTTTCATAAAGCCTAGTCATATTTTCAGTACTCAACATTTTCCAGAGTAAATACCTTAAAATTAAATCCAATTTAAAATGTTATTAACATCTTGGTTTATTTGGCCATTCATATTAAATCTTATTGACATTTAATGCTGTTATGTCAAAGCTGAAGCTAAGCTCTTTAACAGCTTTAAGCCTCATGGCATCTTCAGCCATCTCTGTCAGCTGGGCAAGTTAATCCTCCTTTTAATTACACCACTTACAGTTGATCAGGCAGTATACCACCTGCAGCATGTACAGTACAACACGCAGGAACCACTGTATGCTGTGTGCAACAGCATATACTGTATCTTATTTGTAAAAGAATCTTATAATCTAAATATTAATGCCACTGAGGTCTGCAACAACATTCTCACGGAAGAAGCTTGTCGGCAACTCCATCACCAAGTTCAGCTGGTGTTGATAACATAACTCATCAATATGTTATTAGAGCAACCAAATCAGTTTAATGTTGCCTTTGTGTGGTTTTAAGGAAGACCAGCATTTGTGTAGTGTAAAAAAGGTGTTAGCAGTGTAAAAAAGTTAAGATTGGACATATAGATCAAACCATGTCTTTTCAATGTTTTAACACTAACATAGTGGTAGCTCTTGGTATTTTCAGTAGTAATAGTTGTTGTAGTAGTAATATTAGTAGTAATTGTAACCAGTCAAAATAAGACCTACATTTGAAGAACTCCCACACAGCTCAAATGTATGTAGCTCATACGTAAATAAAAAGCATGTACATTAGAAACACACAACTTAAACCTGGCTGCACACACATTCTGCAACTTGTTTAGCTGCTGTTAAAACTCACAGTTACAATACAGTGTTTTGATTCAGTGTGTTTCTTTTAGAGAAAGACACCATGGATGTTTGGTGTAATGGACAGAAGATTGAAACTGCAGTAAGTATGATACCAGTTACCTTTTCACAGCTTCATATTTTGAGATTTGTTATTTAGTAAAGGGGTACACCACCCTGTTATTAACACCTATCTCCTGTCAGAAGTCAGAAACCAATGTACTTTCTGTGGTCCATAATTGATATTTCTACCAAAATCTACAGTATGGGTTAAAAAAAACCAAACACCCTGTGGTTCTGCAGTTGTCTGATTCTAGAGCTGACAATGTGTAACTGAATGATTGCTTTCTTTGTCCACACCTTCGTCTGATATCACCTACAGGGAGAGTTTGTGGATGATGGCACAGAGACACATTTCACACTCGGAGACCACAACTGCTGTGTTAAGGCCGTGAGCAGCGGGAAGAGACGAGACGGGATCATTCACACACTGCTCGTGGATGGCACAGAGATATCTGAATGCACTGAGTGACTGTGTGTGGTTGTCTACGGACCAAGTGACAGGAATACGTGCTCTTACAGTGCCTATAAAATGTAGTCACCCCCTTGGAGGTTTTACCCTTTTATTGATTTTATAAATCAATTATGGTCAATATAATTTGGCTTTTTTAACAGAAAACATCCAAGGGGGTGAATAGCCATCCCTGGTAGGCTAGTGGTTAAGGCACAGCGCTCTCGCCGCTGCGGCCCAGGTTTGAATCAGGGTTGCGTCAGGAAGGGCATCTGGTGTAAAACACGTGCCAAATGTCAACATGCGAGTCATCAGTGCGATTTGCTACATGCTCGATACATGTGATTTGCTGTGGCGACCCCTGAACGGGAAAAGCCAAAAGTGACTTTCTTTCTTATCCAAGGGGGTGAATGGTTTTTATAGGCACTGTATGTTTTGATACCGTGAAGGGTATATTATTAGCCATATTGGTAAAGGCGGTAGACTGTGACTAATACAGTAACAGTTAGAGATAGAATCCACATACCAATAACAAAAAGGGATTTACTGGCTCAAAATGTGACACCTTTGATCTGTAAACTGGTACTTGATATAAATACTGTTTCAGTAATATTATCAATATCAGAGGGCAGATGTTCCATATTTATCTCACTCAGCCTGGCTCAGTTTGCCCTGTGGTTGTTAATATGAACAGCTGGAGTTCTCTGTACTGTACCTGTTGCACTCTGTCAGCAAATAACCTGGTCCGGTAAACTCCAGACTCAACCTGCTCTTCATTCTGGCTTATTTGTATTCACTAGAGGTGGGTGGACTCGAAACACTGTATAGACAGGCTTCAAACCACTTGCGACCCTTCAGTTTCGAGGCACTGCTTCGGGGTGTGTATTGAAGTGGCCAAGTCACTTGATTGTTTCAGGAAACAGTTCTATTTTGGTGTTTCACTGCTGGGGGCCAATGGAGCATACAACTGCTGATCTTGAGTCAGTTCATTCTGTTGACACTTACATTATCTGAATAACCAAATATGAGTTTGGGCTGATCCTCAGTGATTCCTGGTACTTGTAAATCATCAGATGTGCCACGTCACATTAACACAATAAAAGTCCATGAAAACTGTCACATGTAATGGGGTTTTGTGTTGGAGAGAGACAAATATATTTGATATTTGGAGAAGTTGATTTGGAGGATGGAAGAAAATGAACAAGGTCACTTGTCTAGGAGCCTTTTGGGCTTTAGCAGCCCAATTTAGTCAAATGTAACATTTGTAACCAACATCTGGTATTTCCTAACAACACATCATCAGTGTTAAGACACCTTCTGTTCTAAGCATCCAGAGGAGGGGCCTACAGCAGGGCAAAACAAGTAAACACGCCCTCTTATACAGTGTAGCACAGTCACAAAGTGACACAAACACTCCCCATCAGAGAATGGAGGCCCACTTTCTACAAACACATTTTGAAGGTAAATGAAAACAAATACCTTTGTATATATGATGCATATCTATAAATAGAACATAATATATACGAGATTTACTGTTGTGACAGTTAATTTACACAATAATATTGTGAAAACGACTCAAAACACTAATAACACTCTTCCCCCATAAAGGCCCAGTCACAAAAACATTTGCCAGCACATATGCACATACCTTTATTTCACAGAATTATATAAAAAAGTATATGTCACATACATGGGTGTTTTTAAAGACTGAGATTATACGCCTTTCTTTGGACTTTCTTTCACACACAAATGGCGTTTTAGGCCACTGAAAACAGAGCTTTTGGAAATTTGCCCACATAACTACACGTTTGGGAGCACATTTCGCACCGTGACGTCTTCGGTGTGGATTTAATGTTAAATCATTTCTACTTCACAAAACCTATCCAAGACAATACAAAAGCAACTTGTGAAGGTTTTATTGCTAGCTAAAGTTGGACTGCTAAATTAAGCAGTTGCATTGGTGGTTCAGTGGTAGAATTCTCGCCTGCCACGCGGGAGGCCCGGGTTCGATTCCCGGCCAATGCAGGATATTCATTTTGGGGAGCGACAGTGGTGAGGTGGGTAGAGCAGTCGTCTCCCACCCCTAACCCCAAGTTGCCCGTAATGGCGGCCCGCTTGCACGCAGCGGCCCAGGGCCCTCAGCTCCAAACCAAATTTCGGTGTATATGTTACAATGACAATAAAAATAAGGCATATGAGCTTCAATAACATATTTGTAACAATATGTCAGTAATTCTGTCTAAAAAACATGTTTTGTTGTGTGATGGAAATGATGATTTTGTTTAAACGATAGAATGAAACTCCAGAAAGTGTATCTGACAAAAAGCACAGCCACTATCAGGAAGTATTTCTATACGTAAAACATCAATATATTTCTATTCAAAATTTGTTTTTCTAGAAGTTTCCAGACCAAATGGACCATGGTTGAAGAAGTTCCCAAGATGTAAGCTTTATTTAATTTCATTAAATCCAAGTATGTAGCTGATTTTATTTTGTTGCTGAGATTCATTTTGGTCGGTGTCTGAACAAGCAATTTTCCCCCATTTTATAAAGTGGTGCTGTAGCTTCCTATTAGGTGTAAAAAGAAATTGGCTAGGTTCTTTAAAAAAAACAAAACAATTCAGTTAATAATTTTTACCTATAGTCTTAATTTTGATAGCAATTTAGCACACACTGTTTTATGAACATTTAACTATAAGGTCACAATTCTTAGCCATCACAACACAGACTTCATCAAAAGAAAATAAAGTCACTTTTTTGTCACAGGAGAACATGTTCAAGATTTCTTACAAATAAAAATCTGAAAAGTGTGGCGTGCATATGTATTCAGCCTCCCCGAGTCAATACTTGTTTACTACATATCATTTTTCTTCCACTTCAATATTATGCAACACTTTGTGTTGCTCTGTCACACAAACCCCCAATAAAATACATATATTTTTGTGGTTGTAACGTAACAAAATGTGGAAAGGTTCAAGGAGTATGAATACATTTGCAAGGCACTGTATACTATTAGACATTAGTAGTGCATTTGTAAATCTGAATCTTTCATATACAAATGATTGTGTCACTTCCTAGAAATAGAACTGCTGCTATGTAGAATAGATGTAATCACGCAAAAAGAAAAACATAACGAAAAATGCAATCATGCAATGTTCAGCTTCAAGAAGAACAAACCTGACATTTGTGATTCGTCTATAATAGTAGCACTGCTCTCGATTATACAGTTTCAAGCTGTAATGCAAACACTCATTTGTTTCTAATACTTTATATATTCACTAAGAATCATCTTTAGAAGAGACTAAACTCATATTGTCCACTTTTCTCTAGCCGTTTTGGAATTAGCATAATAAACCCAAAGAAAACAGCAGGGGCATCACTCTTCAGATCACCCAATGACTGTATATAAATATGGACAATGTGTCACTACTTTCCTCCCTCATGCAAAAGTGAAGCCAAAATATTGTGAACACAGCAGCTGCCATCTTGGCATTTTGCTAGCAGATTATATGAGATATAATAAATATAATAAAGCCGTCAAATCAACTGAAATACACCTCTTTTTATATCATCGGACAACTTATTAAGACCAACCTTCCCAGAAAATGACCACTTGTACATATATCAGTGTAATCATATCTACCCAAAACCACAGGAATCACCTCTGGGAAAATTATTTATTCTTTGAGTTTCTATTTGGCTCATGTCCTATCCACCAACATGGAGGAGGTGACCTATGACCTGTATTGCAACTAGCCACTAGAGCATGATTGTTTCGCAGTGGCTTTACTTCTGGGAGCTGTCAGGCTGGTCCATCTTTTATACAGCTGATGATATCACCTTACAGGTGATAATGTACTTGGGCAGAGCTTGATAACCACTAAATATGACAGAGATTTGGTCATTTCCTCCACTCACACTGTCATACAGAATATGGGGATCTGACGATAAAGCAGGTGGCAGAATGAGACCTCGTCTACCAGGGGCGGACTTTCCTGTCAGCACCTCGGCCTCCACAAAATACAGATACTCCTCGTTTTGCTCCTTCCACACCTCCATGGCCTTCTTCACTTTGCCAGCAAAGTAGATGCCTTCTCCATATGCTGGGTCTGTATACAATGGAACATGCACAAAAACTGAACTGAGCCTATTGCTTAGGTGTTTTTACATTTGATCTGTATCTGTAAAACTTTCATTTCAATACTAAGTCCCTAGAAGGCGGATTACATTACATTATGAAATGCACCATACCTTTGGGTGGTGCATACTCTGCATGGAATCCAATATGGCAAACCATGTCACAGAACTGCGCAGGTATGCGCTGAAACATCTTTCGAGAAGTGGAGTCTTGTAGCTGCTTTTGTTTGTAGTCAAACAGACTCTTCAGTGTGGGGTTCTCCACCTTTTCCAACTACAGAAAAATAAAACCATTATTAGTCAAACTGTGGTGAAAAACAGATAG